TGTTTTGCATGATTGAAGTCAATGTCGTATATGTCTTCATTGTCGATTCCCAGCCAGTTATTGAAGATACTGTCCACCAAACCTTCCATTACCAATCTGTATATTCCAAATGTAGTGGCTTGAAGCTGGTACTTGTGGTACAGTTCAGGCCTGGAAGGGATGCGTTCAGCACGCAGCGACAGCTTACTGGCATTCGAACGATCTCCTAGTCTGACAGCGCGGATGACGCTGCGGACAGTGACCATGATGATAACCAGTCTATCGACTGGGGTAGTGACAAGGACCAGGGGGAGACTGTCAGTCTCGGCGACGAGGAAGACCTGGACCGCACTATCGCGGAGGCTGCTGGCTTTGACCAGAATGCCTTTATCGATGAGCACTACTCGTACGTGCCATATTCCCCTTTACAGGACTCCACTGACGCGCCATCACAGTTAGGGCAGCGTAGTGTAGATCTTAATTTGAGTCCTGTAACATTGGCTTTAATATATTGCAGTCATGCGCAAACTTATGCTGCGTGTGCAAAATGTAAGGGGAAAGATAAGGCACAACAGGGTAACACCTGGATCCTTGACTCGGGGGCTTCTCGACATTTCACTTATGACATGAGTGACTTCATCGACTTTGAGGAATTTAAGCAACCTGCGACCGCGTCTACCGCGAATGGGTTTGCTCGAATACTTGGGTTTGGTACGATGGTCCTGAATTATTATATCAAGGACGTTGGGAACATAACCACTCGGTTATTTCCAGTATACTATATACCTGACCTGAATATTCGCCTCATGTCACTCGGAGTCTTACTCCAGGATAAATTGAAAGTGTCTGGTAATGACCGACACATAAGTCTATATGAAAAGGGATTGCGCGAACCTCTATTCAGGTTTTTACCGCGGCAGCCCAGCGACACTATCTATAGTGTCAGTACAATTCCTGCACCGGATGCGTACTCTATATTCCCAACGATCTATGCAGTCGATTATGGGATTATGCACCGTCGCATGGGACACCCCTCTAAGGAAGTCCTGCGGCAAGCTAGGGAACACACTAAAGGTTTCACCACCAATCTGGAGTTTCCTTCGGAAGACCCAGTATGCCCTGGATGTGCAGAAGGGAAAATGCCTTCTAAGGCTTTCCCGCCATCCACTCTACGGGCTAAAGAACCGTTTGAGTTAATTCACTCAGATCTCAAGTCTTTTCCCGTAGACTCCTACCATAAGTATCGATACACAATCATCTTCTTTGACGATTACACCTCCTATGGATGGGTCATGCATATGCGCTCCAAGGGTGCTGCAATTGCTAAGACTCGTCAATTCCTAGCCTACGTACAAAATCAATATGGCAGGAAAATTAAGGAGTGGATGTCCGATGCAGGGGGAGAGTATAAATCTGACGCATTCATCGAGATGCTCAGAGATGAGGGCATAAAAATCCGACAGAGCGCACCTTATGCGCACCAACAGAATGGTCGCGCTGAGCGCTTTATTCGGACTATAATGGACAAAGCACAGTCAATGCGGCTAGAGTCCTGCTCACCTCCATCGTGGTGGGAATTTGCAGTAGACCATGCTGTTCACGTCTACAACCGGACCCCTTTGAAGCGCCATCAATGGCTGACTCCTTACGAGGTCCTGAACAAGGAAGCTCCCAACATCAAGCACTTACGTGTCTTTGGATGCAGAGCGTACGTCTACCTGCCAAAGGAGACCAGACCCAATAAGTTATCGCCTAAAGCTGAGCTGATGACTTACATTGGTGTCGCTGATGGCGGCCATGGCTTCAAGTTCATGCGCGCCAATAATAGTATAGTCACTCAGCCTACTGCGCTGTTTGACGAAGCTATGTTCCCTAAATGCCCTAATACAAAGCGACGGGCAAGCACTAGGCTGCAAAGTGCGCCTAAACCAGCTGACAGTCAACCAGACAATTCTGATGATGATCGGATCACCGATGACGATGAGCCAGACTCACGTCCTCCTCCTAAATCCCAAAAGGGGCCAGGCCAGGATCGTGACGACGAACCTGCGCAGCCTGAGGTGCGACAGCCTGAGAACCCGCCTTCTCCACCTCCGGGGGATCCTGCGCCACAAGATGAGCTGCGGAGACTGGTGAGAGAAAGGAAACCAGTAACTCACCCGGGTAATATCTACGGTGAATCGCGGAACCCCGTAGACACCTATCGCGAGATTGAGTCAGATAAGAAGTGGAAGGATTTAGTCGGCGAAAAATCCAAGACGTCTCGCATACCTCGCCAGTCCAAGCAGAAGCAACAGGTTCCCGGACCTAGCTCTGCCCCTCCACCTCGCGACCCTCCTGCTCAATCCCCGGGTGCTTCACATGAGCCAGTCGCTCCTGAAGCCTCTGACCAGCAGTCTGAACAAGACGCTGATGAGTTACTTCTGGCACAGCTATGCCGGGAAGGGGGAGTACCATTAATTAATTATCTGCTTCTGAAGGCCATTTCGCCTGAGGCAGATGATCCAGATACGTCCAATGTCAGAGAATGGACGTACCGCGATATCCTTCGCTTACCACCAGAGAAGCAGAAGGAATGGAGAGCTGCTTGCCACGAAGAATTGGATGCACTTCGTCGGCGCAGAGTCTTCGACTTGGTTGACCGCCCTAAAGGGCGTTGATATGCACTGACACACAACAATCACCAAGGACCAAAAGAAAGAAACCTAAACCCCGTGCTATGGGAAAAGGCGGTCCGAGACAACTGAAGGGTATTTAGTAGTTCGAGGGGGAAAGGAGGAGTAAGACGCCGTAGGGTAGTCCGTAGGAAGACCTAGAAAAATAAAACAAAACCTTGACGTCTGAAACAAACACTAATGGACGCTCCGGAGTATTTATCTCCGGAAAGTTGCAAACAAAGTCGCAAACCACGGAACCGAGTGTAGGTTCGGGCCCACGGGAGTAGGAAACGCTAGAAAGACTTGTTTAATTTTATTTCGCTATGTGAGACTCACCGGAACTAATTGAATCGATGGCGGAGATAATTCACTCGACGAGTCAGGCCTATTGGCAAAGCTAGGATCGGTTATAATTCGCTAAGTTCGACACTTTCAAACTTCTCGGGTTGCTGAGATCTTAACGCTAATTCTCTGAGATGGGGAAGTCGAAACTTATTTTTCTGTACGCTACTTTGTACAATTTATACTACGGGAATGGCCTTACGACCGTCCGGAGATAAATAACAAATAACCGCCGCTACCCACAGGATTGCTCAGCACTTGCCGCCGCTATACCATGTACCATACGACTCTCGTTTACTCCCACTTGCTCATCCCAGCCCCTAGAGGTCACCTTGACGCTCCGCCACCTGCCTTTAAGCGGTCCCATCATTCCGCGCGACGCGCCGGTCACGTGTTAATTACCTCCGGCCGCTTGCTGACTGATGTTGACCTCATGGTGACCCGTATGTGTCCGCACCTTCGGTATCTTGATGGAAATGAGGGGGAGTGAGTGCTGGAGGGTGGGCATGAGGATGACACCCCTCGATAGAAGTGTCCGCGGATCCCGGAGCTAATCCGGTTAGAAGTTGCATAAGTCGCTCCGGAGCTTCGGTACGCGGAGATAAATCGCGGAATGGGTCCGTGTACGCCTCGAGGATGTTAGGAAGTTCGGAGCTAAATAGAAAAAGTCTTTTAGAGCCCATAGAAGCCTAGAGGCGTGCGAGCGCGGTGTCGAATAAGCTCCGGGGCGCTTGTATGCCGTGCTGAATCCGCGTTTTCGGGGCTCAGACGATCCTAAGGCTTATCAGCGTAAAGTCATAAAATGTCGCTGGGTATTTGACGTCAAATCAGATGGACGCCGCAAAGCGAGACTAGTCGCTAAAGGCTTCTCACAGGTTGAAGGTATAGACTTCAACCAAATATTCTCACCAGTTGTGCGCTTTGAGACAGTGCGCCTTATGCTCGCGCTAGCAGCGCTTGAGGATTGGCACATCTCTGGACTCGATGTGCGCAATGCCTATCTATATGGGAAACTGGATGAGGAAATTTATATGGAGCAACCTGAAGGCTTCGCCGTAAAAGGCCAGGAGCACAAGGTTTGTAGACTGCGCCGTGCACTCTACGGACTTAAGCAAGTGGGGCTTGCCTGGTGGCGCACACTTGCTGAGTCTTTGGAGAAATTAGGCTGCAAACGTCTAACTACCGATGCTGGCATCTTCTTATTTAAGGAGAAGGATGGCCGCATGGTCATTATAGTCATCTACGTTGACGATGCCTTGTTCTTTGGCAAGGACAAGTCTCTTGTGACAGATGTTAAGTCACAATTCATGAAGAAGTGGGAATGCAGGGACCTTGGCGATGTCAAGGAATTCCTACGCATGCGCATTACAAGGCAAGGCCAAGAGATTCATCTCGATTGTTATGATTTTCCCATGCTTGTCTCATTCCATTTCCATTCTGAGCATTGCTATTGGACAGTACCTTTCTCTGAGTAGGACTTCCCATGGATGCTATCTTCTTCCCACACGCTATCTCCCTTGACTCACCTTCTACCAATGGGCGCCCTTGTAGTTCTCATTTCTCTGAGTTACGTTCTCCCAGGATAGCTTATGTGTCCCTTCTCATTGGTCTCTCCTTTGGGTATCAACCCCTATACCAGTTACTATATATACTGTAGGGAAACCCATGTATTCCTTAGTTCAACCTCCTGTTGAATACAGCGATTACCTGGACTCTTGACTTGACCGTTGGCATTGGCCCGGCCAGACCTACCTTTCAGTACACTTACTGAGGTAGTGACGACATAACTGTTGGCACATGGTCCAGTTATCTCAAGACGACTAGTTAGGACATCACTTCCTAACATTAGGTTGAACTCTTCTATGACACTTGCTGACTTCTTCAAGCCTAGGCAACCCCTCCTCTACTCCTGATCATCCTCGTTGGACTCCCTAGTGGAATCCCGTCCCTTGAACCAGAACCATGACGAACCCGATCGATCCCACTGCCCAAGCAGCTGGAGCAGGCATTGCTGCACCAGTCATGCAAGCACGACCAACCAAAATCAAGATCCGTCTCCCAGATGACTTCAATGGAGACAGGAAGAAGACCCGAACGTTTTACCTTGCCACTCAACTATACATGATGGCAAACAAGCACATCTACGACACCGACGAGAAGAAGATCACATTCTTCATCTCCTTCTTGAAAGAAGGAACTGCTGGCCCATGGGCTGAGGCACAGATGACGAAGGCATTCACCAATGACCAAGGATTTGGCACATGGGAAGCCTTCACAACACGATTCCTAAATGCCTTCACCGAGGCAGACACTGCTGGAGATGTGAGAGCCAAATTGCGCGTACTACGCCAGACAGCAATGGCAGATGAATACATTGTGGAGTTCCGCTGATAAGCCTTAGGATCGTCTGAGCCCCGAAAACGCGGACTCAGCACATCATACAAGCGCCCCGGAGCTTATTCGACACAGTGCTCGCACGCCTCTAGGCTTCTATGGGCTCTAAAAAGACTTTTTCTATTTAGCTCCGGACTTCCTAACATCCTCGAGGCGTACACGGACCCATTCCGCGATTTATCTCCGCGTACCGAAGCTCCGGAGCGACTTATGCGACTTCTAGCCGAATTAGCTCCGGGACCCGCGGACACTTCTATTGAGGGGCGTTGTCCTCATGTCCACCCTCCAGCACTCACTCCTCCCCCGTTTCCGTCAAAATACCGAAGGTACGGATGCATACAAGTCACCATGAAGTCAGCATCAGTCAGCAAGCGGCCGGAGGTAATTAGCACGTGATCGGCGTGTCGCACGGAGTGATGGGACCGCTTGGGTCAAGTGGCGGAGCGTCGAGGCGACCTATAGGGGCTGGAGAGAGCAAATGGGAGCGCAAGAGAGTCGTATGGTGTATGGTATAGCGGAGGAAACTGCTGAGCAATCCTGTGGGTAGCGGCGGTTATTTGTTATTTATCTCCGGACGGTCGCAAAGCCATTCCTGTAGTATAAATTGTACAAAGTAGCGTACAGAAAAACAAGTTTTGACTTCCCCATCTCAGAGAATTAGCGTTACGATCTCAGCGACCCGAGAAGTTCGAAAGCGTTGAACTTAGCAAATTATAACCGATCCTAGCTTGCCAATAGGCCTGACCTGTCGAGTGAATTATCTCCGCCATCGATTTAATTAGCTCTGGTGAGTCTCACATAGCGGAATAAAATTAAACAAGTCCTTTTAGCGTTTTCTACTCCCGTGGGCCCAAACCTACACTCGGTTCCGTGGTTTGCAACTTTGTTTGCGACTTTTCAGAGATAAATACTCCGGAGCGTCCATTAGTGTTTGTTTCAGGCGTCAACGTTTTCGTTTTATTTTTCTAGGTCTTCTTACGGACTACCTTACGGCGTCTTACTCCTCCTTTCCCCCTCGAACTATTAAATACCCTTCAGTTGTCTCAGACCGCCTTCACCCACATCACAGGGTTTAGGTTTATTTCTTTTGGTCCTTGGTGATTGTTGTGTGTCAGTGCAT